ATGATTTGCTGGTGTCAGGCACTAGCGACAAGTGCCTGACACCAGCAAAACATATAGTCGCTAGTGATGGCACTAGCGAGTTACTGGTTTTCTGAATATCCAGAAATATTTTGCTTTCGCCTGCAGCATGTTTATGACACCAGACACCAGTAAAGTTTTGGTATTACATTCGGCATTTTAGTATTACTAGCAATATTTGAAGTCACCAGCAGCATGCAGATATCCTCAGCAACATGTTGATACAATTAGAAGTAATTGGTTGATAACGCAGGGCATCATATAGCAACATCAGAAACAGGTTTATACACTAGATGGATGTCGATGACACTAACAACATGTGTTAGTACATGTGACACATTGTACTAACACTATGTTGAGGTCACCAACACCATATCAATGTACTATAAGCAACATGCCAATTTTAAAGCATGACCGAAATGCCAAGCACTGAGAATGCATATCAAACAACAGGCCAAACAGCTACCAGAAATAAACCAATTGTAACATACCAGCCTCACCAACGCATTTCTCAGCTTTGTTTCAAGGCGTTAATTATGGCGGGCGTTCGCCTTCGGCACTACGAACACGAGACGCAATATCACGAGCCTGGCTGCCCAAAACCTAAATAATTCTTGGCATTTCCTTAGGATGACGTGCATAAAATTTAATGGCTTCTTTAAGAATGCAAGACCGACTCCGCTGCTCCCATTTTTTTCGTTGAATGAACGATGAGCAAGCCATGCGACGTGTCAACTGCATTCGATCCATGCGAACGGCATGACAAACACAAACTTCCTTATTCATTAATGCCACGGAATATCGTTATCATTCGTCATTGAAAAAACGATTTCAATAAGCATTATCACTCATTTGCGTAACTAAATACGTTGTAATGGTATAGACTCCAGTTCTAAAGAATATTTAGTAATCGAAATTGTTAAAAAAATATATATATATATTATTATTTTTTGTAATACTCAATTATTCAGATTTTTATTCATAGCAAATTAGTTAATTCATAATTAGTAGGTTCCTATTTATGTGTAATCGGTAATTTTATGGTGTTCTGCACCGGTGTGCGATGATTATCGTGTCACTTATAGGTTTGTGAAAGAGGAGGGATACGAGCGGGAGAAGCCAGATAGCACCGGACAAGAGACGAATGAGGCAAGCGTCATTTCACCTGAATTTCTACCAATTCCTTGGTCACTTTTCTTCTGGATGACTAGATCAACCGTAAAGGCCTAGGATCAGTTATAACGCCGTGTTCCTGAAATGATCAATCATAAGAATTGCCTTACTACGAACCAAAAATGCAACTCGTGTAAAGACAGACGGTGCTGAAGTGTCCTTTGATGACGTGAATTATTTCTTAGTAAATCTTCGTGCTGAAAAACGAATCGAATCAACTCTATGTAAGATTGCACATCTTTGAATATTAAGAGAGCTTAATGGACGTAATTGGCCGCGGTGCTGATTCCGTTGAATCCCCATCACCCGTAACGGTCCCGGCTCATCAAATGAAATCATCGCGATTGTGGGAAGAGTGGAATATTTACTTGAAAATTTGTCATTGAAAGAAAACCGCATCTATACCTATTTGTCATTGTATGATTTAACGGCTAGTATCTGATCAACTCTGGAGACGTCAAGATAACCCCTGTAAGTTAAATATAGCATTTGAGACAATTGCTGTATTATAAAGACAATTGCTGCAGGGTGTGGATCTTCCGTGTGATTGAATAGAACGATTATTGTTATTTATTATATTGAAATAATTATCTTTTATTGCAATAAATGTTTATTTACTGAGGCCTTACAATAACCTTTGGTTTCAGCGTATTTTGTTCATGATTATGACTTCATAACTTGCACCATGATCACCTGCAGCCAGGCTGGTGTCAGATTATCTCGCCAACGCAATGTATAGTAGGCTAACGATCATGGTCAGTACATGCTAGTGGTTCCCCGCTACAACGTTGCTGGTAACCCCACAATAAACCAAGTGCATTATAGGTCATGCGAAGCCAGCACAACGAAAATAACGCATTTGCTGTGTCCCCCAATAACCAGGCGTGTATAGACATTAATTACGAGTGCATGTCCAGAGGTCATCAACATTACGTATATTTAAATCAATAGCGATCGACCTTTTACCAAGTGCTTCCTAAAAACATGTTGCATGAATCTACGAAACAAGGCGGTTGTGAATATTATAATCACTAATAATAGTTAGCAAAATGTCAATTTGGTTCAGTTATTAAAGTATGACGCTGCGATTCATGCTAAATGCGACTTCCTTTTTCGAACGCGCGTGCTAGCCATGACAATGAAGCCATTACGGAGGCGGCATTGCAGTGACAGTAATGAGTCATGGTTCCATGTAGGGGGACGGGCTATCAAAAAGCAACACGAGCGATCGTTGTGATAATTGTAACCTTGACGTGACGATTCGACGTCGCGGCATGCTTATCGCCATCATGCTCGCTGCATGCAGTGGTGAGGGATGCATGGCATCGCAGTCTACGACCTGAATAATTATCTTCATTAATTACAGTAATCAATTAACAACGATATATTAGCGCAAGGAACGTAAACATTGCAGTCTATGAACTGAATGATTAACTCCATTAATTAAAGTAATATATTTCCAGGAATATAACAACAATAAAGTAATGTATTAACAACGGTGTATTAATTATGGTGCGCAATGAGCGATAAGTGACAACTACGTCCAGCAAGTTCAAAGTACAAAAAAATATAACTCAGTACTCACTGAAGTGAGTGACAGAGAGCGCATTTTCTCGTCGACGAAAACTTGAGGTCACGGACGGACAAACGGACGGACGGACGGACGGACAGACAGACAGACGGACATGGCGAGCACAATAGTGCATTTTTTCCATAAATGAAAAAATGCGCTAAAAAGGGGATTGATGTCTTGGTTTTCACGACACGATAAACTCTAATCTGTAAATGATGGCCAAGCCGCCTCGACCAGGAATGCCCTACAGTTCGCGGCTTGAAATCGAATGTGTATTGGTGATGATTGATGAATATGGTTGAACTCAATGATGAATTTGAGTTGCTCCATGATTCAACAACCTTGCTTTAACAACAGTAGAAGTTCAAACCCATGCACCCCATCCCGATACGGGGCCTCCATCTAACGATATCAAATTAAGCACTTATACACGTAATATTTTATATCGAAATAAAAAGGAATGTATAATATTTATTGCGCGACAAGACAGCGGTGTCTCGTATGCAATTCCGAAAAGGAATAGAAAGAAAAATATGTATATAGATTACAAGACAGAGAGCAGCTTTTTCTTGCACCTAAGAACAAGACAATCCCTAACAACACTAACAGGAAAAACATCTTCAAAACACCGATTGTATGGGAATGCAGTTTGGGGATGGAAGACTGCACCAAGAATCCTTGCACAACAATATACAATATGATTGCGGTACTCAGAATAAAATAGGTAAATCAGGGTTGCTTTTTATTATTGCTGATGATTTTCATATTTAATGGCTCGAGTCAAAGTTTTGCAGAATTTATTTGGGAGTCCGCAGGGGGCCATGAGTGCCTTTTGCAGGATAAAAACCGACTCGTGAGAAAAATTGCCGATTCCATGGTGAATATTATTACGTTAAATCTATCACCATATAATTTAAATGTTTGTTAGACTTATCGATCATTTTTAGTTTTCCTAAATTGATGTGTATTAACAAACTTAATATGACTTTTATTATCTTTATATGAATGTACACATTTTTTGATGGAATAATTTCTCGAAAGAACAGAAACAATGTATTGTTGTTAAAATCCATAGAGATGACTGAACTTAAGTCACCAGCAGGGAATGCGACAACGTCTCTTATCGAGCGGTAAAAATGCAAGAAGTTACCAAAAGTTAATGTGAAGAACTGAACTTGACACCGGGAGTTGAGAGGAGAGGAGGTCTCGGTGGGCGAAGATATAAACAGAGACATTTTCAAAATACATGAAAATTAGTGCCAGTTAGGCTTTAAAAATTCGATCACTTTTCATCTATAAATTACTGTGAAAAAAGTAATACGATGAAGTAATACGATTTAGCTGAAAATTAGAAAACATTTCGATAAATTTCATGATTGCAGTGGCTTTTTGGTTGAAATTTTGAAGATAAGCTTAATTTATTTGTTAGCTGATCAAAATTCGAAACAATTGTAGAACGTTGAACCGTTGTTGGTAAAAATAAGATTAGCATCGTTATCATTAAAACAGAAAAAATCGGAATCTGTTTCGACATAGCAAGACATGAATCGCGGAATTTCAAATGCTCATTTCAATTTAGAGTTATGCTGCATTTTTTCCATGACGTTTCCATAAAACCTATATGGATTTAAGGCTCCGTTTAGGTCAAGACTTTATGTGATTCTAAATTCTATGAGATTATTCAACTGTCAAGATTATTTATTATTCAAGGTTTTGCGCTTCCATTCAGGCACATGGCGGCAACTTATTCGTCACCACGGAGCTAAGTGTTTGTGAATAACATCACCTCCTAGACTTATACGTACTATAGCACTAACGTCGTTGGTGACGTATATACCTATACCTAAACGTGTACTGTAGCACTAACGTCGTTGGTGACGTATACTATAGCACTAACGTCGTTGGTGACGTATATACCTATACCTAAACGTGTACTGTAGCACTAACGTCGTTGGTGACGTATACTATACCTATACCTAAACGTATACTATAGCACTAACGTCGTTGGTGACGTACACTATACCTATACCTAAACGTATACTATAGCACTAACGTCGTTGGTGACGTATACTATACCTATACCTAAACGTATACTATAGCACTAACGTCGTTGGTGACGTATATACCTATACCTAAACGTGTACTGTAGCACTAACGTCGTTGGTGACGTATACTATAGCACTAACGTCGTTGGTGACGTATATACCTATACCTAAACGTTTACTATAGCACTAACGTCGTTGGTGACGTCGCCGTAGTGGGCGTGCTGCTCCGTCTCCCTGGAGTGCTGGTGCTCCTGCCTGCTGTTGACGTAGCGCTCCACCTTCTCTGAGGTGACCAGACTGCCTGGCACCGCCACCCACCCCTCGCCGGGGGGCAGCAACGCGACAGCGTCGGTCTGACCCTCAGGCTTCAGGTTCTGAGGGACGAAGGCAGACGAAATTTAGTTTTTGGCTGATGCCAATGTCACTAAGAAGAGAATTATTAATGAGGGTGAGAAGAAATCCAATGAGGGTGAGAAGAAACACAGTTCAGTGAAAGCAATCGTGGTACAGTTAGAGGAATATAGTCATTTTGATGGAGGGAAGGAAAAATTTTGAGTGATGGAGAGAACTTTGCAGGAGCGGATCCAATTTTAGAAAGAGAAATGCTTTCTGACGAAGGAAAAGTTATAAAACTCAGCCCCATTCCAGAGTTGAAAACTATAACTGAGGTAATACCGCAATATAACTATGACAACCTATATAAATCTTATAAAAATGAGCCCTTGAGAGACACACTATTTCTGACACATGGAGTCAATAAAAGGTATTAACTATCATAAAAACTATGACTACAAAGAGGGAATATTATAACAGTAGAAGAAGGACAATATGTAACGAAAAACAACATCGCCTGGTAATTGGTCAAGTTCAATTGCAGAAATAACTCGATAGGCTCAATGGAAACATGGAAACTTGAGGAAAGCGGCTTGCGAATATACTCAGAAGAGAAGATTATCCAGGGCTGGAAAATAAATTTCCTTGAGTAATCAGTCATTTTTCATCTCATTCAACGATTACAATAAGATGTAATATCATAAGTTACATTTTAACATTTTTTTGCAATGATAAAACCATACAAAGGTTGTCGATTTTGTGATTCTAGTATTGCTTGGCATCATTAACGCCTGCAACTTCTTGCAATGAACAATAAAAAGCAACAAGGAAGTGACATCAAGGTTGAGTTTTAACAGACGAGGCAGTTATCATGGTTTCCAGTTGGTGAAATTTTGGAAAATGCTTCGATCAGCTACAAAGACTTATTAATTGTACACCGAAATTCTCAAGAGCAAGGGATAAAGAAACATGAGCGTAAGCGAGGACACGATTCCCCCAAATGTGTTAGGGGGAGCATGAATTTAAAAACTAAAAAATTTAGACTTTTCATGTTTTTTGGCTCACTTTAAAAGTCCAAAAATTGCGCATCTAAAGAGCACAGAGCCATGTTTAATTGTGCGTTCATTTGTTCGTTAACGACAGTCGTCGAAAAGTGGATAAAAGCTATACATTAAATGACCACAAATTTCAGTTTTTTGGCTCTCCTGAAAACTTGAAATTTTCATCTTAGAAATCGATCTCCTATGATTTTCAAGCTACAGCGTTGAGAGACAAACCATTCGATTCTTAAAGACCATATCTAGCAATCATCCGGTCACTTTTTCTGATTTCTTTTTTGTTTTGATTAAATGTTGAAAAAATATAACTCAGTACTTACTGCAGTGAGTGACAGAGAGCGCATTTTCTCGTCGACGAAAACTTGAGGTCACGGACAGACGGACGGACAGACGGACAGACAGACAGACGGACGGACGGACATGGCGATCACAATAGTGCATTTTTTCCATAAATGAGAAAATGCGCTAAAAACATGAGGGCGAGAAAAAATAAATAAACCATGAATTTAAAGTTTTCTTTCTGCTTTTGGAAAAATTTACATGAACAAAAAAGTCTAAGATTTCTATTTTACATATATGTACCCAGTTTCAACATGATCCGTCCATAAATGATTTTTTTGCTATACATGCTTCCCTTAAGTTAGTTTCGTGCAGTATATATAGATGTTTTGAGACAGATAACGGATTCTCAAATTTTGTGATACGTAATTCGCCTTCCGATTAACATAGAATTTCGCCTTCGGTATTATATGCAAGTTCAACTAAATTTAGACGAAATGAATAAGGTAAAAGGAAAGATAGAAAACCCAGGGCATTTTAATACATCAAGCCTACACTTCAGCGCCGAGATCAATATGTTATGTTATGTTATTCGATGCCTATTTTGTATTTTGTGGGTCATCCTAACCTATTTGGGCTGGGCAAAAAGGTGTATCAGTGCTACGTCCGCTTTCTACTCGTGCTCCGGTTGAGAGAGGGCGTCAGTATTCGGCAAATATGATCCAATCATTTTTTTAGAATGAGTTTGAAAGTTAATAAATAGAAAAAATCACCCGCGGCTATTCGCAGTTAGTACGACCTTATTGTTTCACTAAAGTCATTTTACATCAAAGTCATTTGACAATGCATTATATTTATTTACCGTATTTATTGGTAACTTAACCAACGTTTAGATTTCTTACTTCATGGTTACCTCATATAAGCAGAGCTGGGCAGCGCTACTTTGAAATGTAGCGGCCTCTACCGCTACCGCTACATGCTCTAGGTAAATGTAGCGGGCGCTAACGCTACCGCTACCGCTACACCCCCTAGATTGTAGCGCCGCTCCCGCTACCGCTACTAACAATGTAGCGGCCGCTACATGTAGCGCACTACTGCCCACCTCTGGTAGCAACTAACATGTTGACACTAGTAACAGGCTGGGGTTGACAACATTACACCGAAATCTTTCGTACAGTTTTATTCTGTAATTTTTATTATGTATGTATCATGCTGGCTTTTAAATAATATTTAATACTATTAAGTAAAATCTAAAGGCTTTATTCCGATTAACAAAGAATTTGTATAAATTTAGCGGTAGCGCTGTAGCGGCAAAACCTCGTATTGCTACTTAAATATGTAGCGGGCGCTACCGCTACCGCTACAATTGCTTAAATTTAGCGCCGCTACCGCTACTGAAAGTAGCGGCCGCTATACATGTAGCGCGCTACTGCCCACCTCTGCATATAAGTGACCTTGACTTTCTCCATCGACGTAGTTATTTCTACCTTTTAGATTCCGACATCGTCCACTCGTGTTATTTTATCAAGTAAATGTTTCCATTTCACTTCTGACATCATCATCCCCAAGTCTTACTAAACCGATGTCAATATCTCCTCATATTCATTACGTCATCTTCGCCTTGTCTCGCTATACTTGTCTGAATGTTTGGCACACTCACATAGTCTCGTGACTTACACAACATAGAACTGCTGCCACGGGGCGACTCCTCACCTCGTCAGCGAAGGTCTCCTTGACTTGCGTGTCCTCCGTGACGTCCTCGGTGACGGTCGGGCCAGAGTCGCCCACCACTCGGCCGTCCTCCAGCAGCAGGTCGCGCTGCGTCCTGCGCTCGATGTTCTTGGTGGTGGTGGTGGCCTTGCGTCTCTTGTGGACCACCTCCTCTGCAACGCATACGGTACGAGTAGGTGTTGATGGTACGAGTAAGTGATGATGGTACTAGTAGGTGCTGATGGTACGAGTAGGTGCTGATGGTACGAGTAGGTGCTGATGGTAAGGCTAGGTGCTGATGGTACGAGTAGGTGCTGATGGTACGAGTAGGTGATGATGGTACGAGTATGTGCTGATGGTACGAGTGGTGATGATGGTACGAGTACTGATGATGGTACGAGTAAGTGATGATGGTACGAGTATGTGCTGATAGCACGAGTAGGTGATAATGGTACGAGTAGGTGCTGATGGTACGAGTAGGTGCTGATGGTACGAGTAGGTGCTGATGGTAAGGCTAGGTGCTGATTGTACGAGTAGGTGCTGATGGTACGAGTAGGTGCTGATGGTACGAGTAGGTGATGATGGTACGAGTAGGTGTTGATGGTACGAGTAGGTGATGATGGTACGAGTAGGTGATGATGGTACGAGTAGGTGTTGATGGTACGAGTAGGTGCTGATAAAAATAAGAATGCTAGCTAAATGCACGTGAATTGATGATTGGGTAAGGGCAACCTCCGTGCGAGGAACATTCAGTCATGAGCAACTGGTCAATAACAAAATTCACAGAGCAATAAATCCTGGCAGTGTAAACTTAAACAGTGCATCTCACACAATATATGCAGATGGAGTAAAATAATTGAGATCCCAACGAATTTTTACTAACTGTAACGCAGCAATAAAAATTTAATTAAACACTGATAACCAAAGAACAGTATTAATTAAATAACTGTTGGCAGTGAGAAAAACAAATTTCGCAGGCACCTCCCGAGTAACACATGCAATCAATGGAACTACCATGTGAACAATGGTAGTGATGGCTTAATAAGAGTGGTAATTACAGACCTGTGATAGGAACAGGGCAATTACAATTACAAACTTATCACTCCTTCCGCGCCACAATGTCATAAGTAACCGCATTTGACATTCCAGAGATGGACGAAGCCAACAGAAGCTCACCTTCTTTAACAGTTTCGAACACTTCCCCGTCGTCGTCCTGAGGAAGGATAATGAACATTAGCCTCCAATAAAAGGTTAGAATCGCCTTTAAAAAATACATCAACTTCCCATAGAAGAAAATGATTATTGTGATAATTATTCTAGTTATTATTATAATGTATATTATAGATCAATGCGGCCAAAATTTACCAAAAATTCTTGAACGTTAAAATCGATATTATTTCTATGCAACGATAAGTAGTAAAGAAGAGCAAGAGGTTTCAGGGTTCGTGCGCAGCAATTCAGAATTTAGGTTACCCAATACTCGTAGTTTCATATCCGGTTATTCATTGGGTGGCCGTTTAAAAGAACTTGCATACAACATTGAGTTTCATGCTGCCCAAAAATTTATGCATAAAAACTTCATTTTAGCAAAAATGGAGCATTTAATCTCGAATAAAAATAGCCTCGTGAGGATTTTTCTATTTTAATTTCACGTTAAAAAATTTATAAAATTAAATAGGGCACATAAGATTACCTCGCTTATTAAAACAGATAAGATAATTACTGGAAATGATCCCGGCTCTAGAAATTTCTCTATTCATGAATGTAGCTTCTATATTTACCTTAGAATAAGCTTGACTCATGGGGGTTGCCTCGCTCATGAATAGTGGCAATATTTTTCTACGAAATGATCTTGGCTTTCGAAATTTCCCTACTTAATTTTCCCCAGCCTTTATATTTACCGAGAAATAAGCTTGGTTAGTCTCTTTTCCACACAAATTATTGTAAAAAATAAAAAGAATGAGAATAAATAAGGAGCTACTGACGGTGAGCAGCGCGGCTGGAGGGCCCGACTGGTAGTATCGCGTGGCGATGACGCCGGACGGTGCGGGGCCCAGGGGGCCTCCTGCCCCCCTCCCAGTCACTGGCATCCTGGAGACAAACGTTGCATCTTAATTCCTATATCATAAAAGTGGTGTAATACAAGTAATACGGCACTGCAGGCTATATTATATACTTACTCAACTTAATTCTCTCTGCGCCTGAAGGCGCAATAAGGCTTGGACGTCATTCCTTCACTGGGTCCGGTTTGAAGCTGCCTGCCGTGCTATGTTCCACGAGTTTTAGCCTGCACTGTTTATCTCTTCCACCATTCGCCTCCAAGTTGTTTTTGGGCGGCCTCTCTTCCTTCTTTCTCCCTTCAGGTGCCCACCCGAGAGCCACAGCACAGTCGCTTGCACTGTCCTTCCACAACACATGTCCCACCCAGTTCCACCTCCGTCTCCTCACCACATTACTGATTTTCTCCACCTCTGTCATATCAAGAACTGACTTGTTTGAGATGAGTTGCTGCTATCGGATCTTGCAAAACTTCCATAAGCATTTGGTTTAGAAGATATCCAGCTTCTTCTCATCTCCCACGGTTAGATTCCATGTCTCGCATCCGTATAACAGAAATTAATGACCCAAGATGTAGAATAGGGAGGTTTTGGTCTTCCTGCTGATGTTGCTGGACTGCCAGATGTTTGATAGCCTTTTGAACTGCGCGCTTGCCATTGCCGCGCTTGCCATAATAAAATACGATAGCAGCGGACTATATTATATACACTAAACATATAATACAATACGGTACCAGCAGATCATATTATATACACTAAACATATTAGGCAATGCGGTACAGCAGGCTATATTATCTATCTCAAGCATATAATGCAATACAAACTTTAGTAATTAAAAGATTGTGAAAGAAGTTCAAAATATATTGAAAGATCTAATAGCGGTTCTCGTGTTCAGGGAGGAATCATGTGGATAAGGAGCTTCAAAAGTTAAACGCAATAACAAATGAAAACATATAGATATAGAGCGAGACGATGAAGAAATTTTCAGATCATTTCAAGGACTTAAAATATCCTCGGCATAGACGTAGATCATTTATTAAACAAATTATGAAACTACGCATTGGAAAGCCAGTAATTATCTTATTACTTGGCAAGAGACCAACTAAACCAATTCTTCAGTGACATTCTTAAATTGAAAAGGAAATAGTTATATAAAACAATCATATTATGGCAATTTTGCATTTTTTACTGTTTGTATATCGGAGCCACCAAAAACCAATTATAAAAATATCCAAGGCGCCAGCTGCCTGCTTTACACGAGTACTATACAACAGGATCATGCTACCGCTTTCCTGATCTTAGTACATTAAAATATACATGTGCATTAAACCATAATTTACGTTATAAAAATCTAAAGCTCATAGCGTGACGACTTCCTACGTCTGCGGCCCTACAATGGCTCAAGAGGCGTCGCTCGCTCGTCCAGGTGTCGCTGCTCAAGGCAATCCAGCAGCTCATCCCTCTAAGGAGGTAAGCAAGGGCAAAGTTGTTGTACAATGGCTACAAAACTATATTTAAACAGCTAGGAAGTAAACAGTCACCTCTCTAAAAACAATCATATGGAATGCTCAGCTTCTAGGAACGCATTAAATGTTACTTTGCCTTGAGTTCAGAGTTTGATAAGATTCGTTGGAAGGATATTACGCAAAGCAAGGCCGGCTCCTCTGAATGCGACCTCGCGCTATCGACGGTCGTAAATTTGAATGAGGAGCGTGTTATGAGAACACCCGTTAAAAGGAGATGTGAATCATTTTCAATTATGGCTTGGTAGCACACTGATTATTCCAAGAACTATACCGTTCAAGTTCAGAATAATATAGCGCAAGATCTTAAGAATATTGGCCATATCTGAACCGAAAACTTCTCAGAAGAAACATTCTAGTTAATTTGTCAGCCCAGAATTATTTTGCAGACAGTAACGCAAAGGACAGATTCGTACTTTTACGGGCAGGTGAACAAGCTCGAACAATGTTACGTACAGCGAGGGCTGTCTGAGCATTCCCATATAATCCATTGACTGGATCGTTAACCTGCCATGCAAATGTCGCGTAACGGACTTCGTGACTTGCACTGAGCAGTCTTCTACGGTGCGCCGATCGACTGCAAATCTTGGTTGGCCCTCCTCTTCTATATGTGTTCCATGGAATGTTGTTTACGCGGTGACACGGGCGATGCAAGTGTGAGGCGAGGCAATAACACGGGCGATCATGTGTGTGGAGGGCGGATAGCCTGCGATGCCGATGCAAAACGCAAGATGGGCTCATCAGATGCGAGCCCACAACAGAATAGGGCAGTGAAGAATATATCTGGTACTTCCATACTTTTCTTGTAGTAAAATGATCATAGCTATTATTGGAAGATAAGTCGAAATTGATCCTCAACCATGGTTATGTGAGAAGATGACGATGATGAATGAATTGTAAACGTAATGATAAAACCCAATACATTTTCACTGTGACTGATCCTTGAATAAATTTCCACGCATTTAAAACTTTTTGCAGAAATTTCTTCATATATTTACATGGGAGAAATACTTTCTCCGTTAAGGCGTAGAGTCTGGACTTATGAGATCGCAGCAAACGAGAGATTAAAAATTACTAGAAAACACGGCAGGGAAAGTCGAATTAAAACGCGTATGTAAGAATGGTTGGAAGTGGCAGATGGCACAATGTAAGCATGACATTTACCGTGCTTGTGGTCATGCGCACTCCAGTCAACGTCATTGCAATCAATCGAATGCAAAAGTGAGAGTCAGTTTATAAACTTCACTAGCATAAGGATTCATTGCATGTGACGTAATTCGCGCAATTTTATTTCATAACCAAGTTTTTTTATGTTACTTTTTGAAACATATTGAGGGGATACCATAACGGATTTCCGAAAAAGATCGACAGAAACATGTATTTATAATAAAATATCTTCAATTTATCAATATTTACGACGTCATTCATAACACCGAACTGAACTTTCGATAATCAAAGAATTTACAAGCATTCGAGACTACTTGACAATCTAAAATCAAATAAAAGTATAATATCCATAAAAATGGCGAAAATTTTCAATATATTCTTTACTGCATTTGTGATAAACTTTTTTTGCCATTTTTTGTTACTAAATTCCAATAAGTTACGATTGTCGGAATAATTCTGAAAACAATTGTTCACGGTCGCCACGCAGATCTTTGTGTTGTTGAGAGCTCGGAGTCTTCATGCGTTGGCTGAGAGTAGGTCTGCGTGGGACGGTGAGTATGGCGGTGGTGTGGATCATCACTTGCAGCGCGTCGAAGTTCATCATGTGGGAAAATTCTAATATTTTCATTCATAAAATGAATGATCACATTCAGTATTTACCAAGCATTTAATTAGTTGTACGAGACTGACATTTAAAGCTGTATCGTTTCACATCACTTCAGTTGGTTATATAACAAAATATCCGATTCTTGCCAACTTTTTGTGCTCATAATCATCGCAGGATTGTGCGAACATCAATACAAAAAATAACATATTCCTTTGCAGAGGTATACACGTACTGAGAAGGGTTGAAGCTGTGAAGGCTAATAGTATTCGAAGGTCTTTGTGCTTGCAGTCACGAACAGGATGCGACCGCTAGATTAGGACAAAGATAGCAACGCTGCGATGCACAGAACCTGACGCTGCGATAGGCGTGAAGGTTGTTGTGCTGGAAGGATCCTGCCGTGAAGCCTATCATAAGCACCATACCGTAAATTGATATAAAGTTGGGCTGATGGTTCAGTGAAAAGTTCTTCCCTTCTTTACGAGGTTAGGGAGAGAATGGACAAGATAATTTTTCTTTCATAGCTGATAGCAGACAACACGAAAAAAATTGAGTAGTCTTGCTTCTCAGGTCAGGAAATCAATGTTTTGAAGTCAATTTCGGAACTCTTGGTGTTGGCATGTAGTAAGGAAAGAAATAACAAAAAAAGAATGCCGAATTTCCAGCTGCCTTTTATGTTACATATACTATACGAGCTATATTCAAACGATATTGAAATGAGAACATTGAAAATTGACTATATTGATAAACGTATTATTAGCACGCAGCGTCCTCGTAATACCCAAAACGTACTGAGCGTATATCTTATATCTCAAGACTCAGTACGTAGGACCTTATACAATCGATACAAATGTTTATTATTTATTACATCGATACAAATGTTACAAACGCTTCACAACAGCTGCTAAGTGCAGATTCGTATTCGGTGTGTTTAGTTATAAGAGCCAACTCGTGAGAAGCAGATGGTATCATGAGAATGTGACTGCACATGGCAATGCCCCATGTCATGTGCCATGTGGGTGTCGCAGCGCATGGAGAGCTCCCCCGCAAGGCGCCATGTGGGTGTCGCAGCGCATGGAGTGATGTAGCGTGCATAACCGCGCTTATACTGACAAGATTCTAAAGTTCGCACCTTACGTAAAAATGTAATGAGGATCTATTTAAAAACACCAGCAGTCATCAAAAGCTGGGATCAAACATAGTAGTAACTGGTAAGAAACATCAACAATGGGGGAAGTGAAATAAACGAAGATATACGCAATTATGACAGCTGACGCTCAAGCAGTTCGTTCAGACAGAAAGCTGGGATTGAACAATGCACGAGGTCAAGGTTACCTCAGGCAGGAACTGATGAGCAAGCTCAGGGAATCGTTTAAATTCCCGACGGTTACTCACAATTGGGCAAGGTTGTCTCAACTTCCTGTGCAGTTTTAAGGAAAAAATTTACACTTTTGCTATTCATTTACACTTGATTCAAATTCTCAACCTTTGTCAACACTAGATAGTTGTAGGGTTGCACTAACGCTCATGCACCGTAGAGCTTCACTAACGCTTTAGTGTCGTAGAGCTTCACTAACGCTGTAGTGTCGTAGAGCTTCACTAACGCTTTAGTTTCGTAGAGCTTCACTAACGTTCATGTGCCGTAGAGCTGCACTAACGCTTTAGTGTCGTAGAGCTTCACTAACGCTCATGTGCCGTAGAACTTCACCAACGCTTCATTACCTGCTGAGCTTCACTAACGTTCTATTGCCGTAGAGCTTCACCAACGCTTCATTAACAGCAGAGCTTCACTAACACTTTAGTGCCGTAAAGCTTCATGCACTAACGCCTTAGTGCCGCAGAGCTTCACTAACACTTTATAGTGCCGTAGAGCTTCACTAACGCCATAGTGCCGCAGAGCTTCACTAACCGCAGAGCTTCACTAACACTTTAGTGCCGTAGAGCTTCACTAACGCTTTAGTGCCGAAGAGCTTTACTTACGCTCTATTGTTGCAAAGCTGTAAAGTGAGCACATGTGGCTATGAAACGCATTAAACATTAATAGCAAGTCAGCCGTTGTACGTCTGTACGTACGTCCGTCCGTAGAACGCTTGCATTGGGCTCAAGCTTACTATTCACGTCCCGACGAAGTGCTTGCGCATTAAATTATTGTTTTTCGCACGCACTAGCTTACTTACATTTACGTTTCGAGAACCTTATTGATGTTGCACAGTAATGCAGTATAATGATTTGTCAATTACAATCAGCAAATATGTGAACCAATACACATTTTACGATATGATATAAGTTGGTCCTTACTTTCCTAAGGCCATGAGGCCTTGGAACAGATTAAAATCTCGTCATATTTATAGTTTGATAAGCCCAGCAACAGCTGTTCACTCAGGTTAAGCTGTTCCTGTGAATGAACTTCTGTTTGGATGTTTAATTCCAGCCTGCGTCAGAGTGGCATTGTATGTTTCGTATGACAGAGTGCGTTAAGTTATCATGTTCCAAAACTTAACTACCACTCTAATTACTCGTGTACTAAAGTTGCTAATGCACAAGATTCGATATACTAATTTGGTAATTTGTACAACTAATGTAAAGGAACATGTAGTAAAATTATAGTGCAAATAGTAAATACAATCCTGCGTGAATATTGCGCAAAATAACTAGTTAGAACAAACAAATATTATTGTAATAAAATATTACTGCACGAGTTACTATGCATATAACTTGATGTATCAATTTCTCAGCTATTGTATTAATTTCTAACTCGGAACTGAATTCTCAGGCAGTTGGCCCGCTACGTGTAGTGAGATCAGATGACTATTTCTACAGCTCTAGCCGGGCGCGCTAGACGTATAGGGCACAACCCCACACAAATATATGTATATACAACCAACCTAGTTATGCGCCAGATCCCTGTTCTTTATCTCCAACATTATTTTCTATTTCTCATTCCCCTTATTAGCCACACGGTGCCATCTTTTCCACACTTTTCTTGTGGCACCACAACAACAACAGCGGACGGTACATGGCCGACCGAGCTCATGGCAGCTGGTCGAGCAGGCCGAGCTCAGGCTCCCACAGTATAAGCCGGACCATGCCCAGACGCTAATGCCCCCACAATGCCCGACTTTATCATGAGCGCATCATCGTGGCCCAGTAGCAGGTCTATAATGGTTTTTTAAATAAGGTGCTCGTGACTTTATGGTTCATTTATTTTATTTTATCCATTATTTTGAGAAAATAATAAAGAGAGTGTGAGAGGCAGCATTAAATCCGACTTCGATACGATTTTATTTTATAGGTTTCATGCGTGATTCACAAGTCGCAAATAAGGAAATTCCCTAGTTTTACGACATGAAGTATATATATCATGAAGTGAAGAGCAATGTACTGCCCCTCGGCCGGCTGATGGCCTCGAGGCATGGGTGAGAGAAAGCGAAATGTCCTGTTCAGTGAAACTCAAGGTCGTTCATATGTGGTGGCAGGGTCGTGAACCCTGGACAACCTGGTAAACATCGTTGGTTGCTGCATCCAATACACTTGTATACAAGTGTTTACGTACGTACGTAATAATTCAAGTACGTCTTGATATAGAAAAATGACTTTCATTTTACGATAGGTTTGTTGAACGGATGTTATTTGAGTAATTTTGACAATCTTGATCTTAAGCTCTTAATCGTGCTCTCAAAATTAAGAAGCTTTTTTTAGTACGTTATATATGACGTCCTAATCGCAATATTATTAATAAGAATTTTCTCAAGTTATTACGTTTTCATCTTGATTAATGTTATACAAAACCAAAAAAAAAAAACCTTCCGGCACCAAACCGAGTTAGTCATGTGTAGGTTCATCACTACAAAATATATTTACTCAATCCATCATTTAACGATCTGCAGTAAAATTCATTACGTAAAATGAAGCTAAGATCAACGATGATAAATCTGATGTGCAAATCAATCAAAAGAGCCTTTGATATATAATCAGATTTCGCCATTATAATATCGAAAATTAGTTCAGATGAGCTAGACGAGTTTCACACTCACTTTGCGGGAACAGGAGACAGTCGAGATGAAAGTCAGCACATCGGCGCGCCGTCAGTAATTATTACGAGTCCTGAAAAGAAAGAGAATAGCATCAAATATCAAAATCATGGATTGAAAATGCTACCAAAAATCCACTCATGGCTGCAGATGATAAATTAAATTGTCACATCGCATTTAAAACTCATAGATACAGTTCACCGATAGACTTAGTGGTGGAATAAAAGCATCCAATTAAATTTTTATAATATGCTGTATCATAAGCATATAATTTGAATCACAAATGTTCGTCTTTCCTATAGGCATGCTATTCAATGTGAAGGATAAATTCTACACGTATAAGAAAGAGCTGGCCAGTAGAGGGCCCAACTGAGAATTTAATGCAAATTCGAGAAAGAAAGACACAAGGTAAAGAAAAGTTTTATTTTTATGCAGTGCTCTACAATACGCGGGAAGACAAATATTCATAGCAGTTCAACATGACTACCAGGCAGACAACGGTCATCACTTAATTGAAGATTCCAGTCATGGTTTATGTTGGTGAATTCTATATTTCATGAGAGTAGAGTTGCTGTCGTTGCGACACTCGTTACTTATAATTTAATCTTGACCCAGCTGAGCTGATCAAGCCGCATACGCAAGTTCAGACCAAAAGGTTTAAGAATATTAATAAAAGAGGTGTACAAGATAATCCCTTTAAATGCCTTAACTCTGAATATTTTGCAAAATAGTCAGTGATAAAAGGGAGATTTTTGATTTAGAAATTTCAAATTTGTCTTTCAAATACTAGAAACTTAAAAATTCGACGTTGACTGCGAGGCGGAAAAAATGCATATAGATCCTTCATCTATAATAATCATACTTTAGGGGACTCATGAGCGTACGTCTCGTATTCAAAATAAGTTAGATTCTGGATGGACGATCTATATAGGAACGTTCACATTTTACCGAGGTTAAATGGATGACTTTGGTAGACGAGACCGTATGCAGCACACCCTAAATTGAATGAAATCTCGAGACGTGCGTGCAAGGCCACAAAGACAAACATCGTCATTCGTATACGCGAGGAATGTACGAATTAGCCCCACGGTCACATTATCTTTGGCACGCATAAATGTTCTCAATTGCCACTAGTGCATTCATATAGGGGCGCCTCACATGACATTGAGCACCAGGCGCTACAGCATCGCGCAGCATAACAAGTAAGAACTGGGCCCACAGACCATGGCTCGAGCATCGTAAGTAAGAACAGGGCCCGCAGACCATGGCTCGAGCATTACAAGTAAGAACTGGGCCCGCAGACCATGGCTCGAGCATAACAAGAACTGGGCCCGCAGACCATGGCTTGACCATGGCTCGAGCATAGCAGGTAAGAACAGGGCCCGCAGACCATGGCTCGAGCATAGCAGGTAAGAACAGGGCCCGCAGACCATGGCTGAAGCAGCGCTTCTTGTGCTCGCTTACAGAAAGAAAAACCGTCAAGTGCTGCATGGACCGCTGGTGCTCAATGTATTATTGATGTACGGTTATACCCACAGTAATAAAACTATATTTTACAATCATACGATTAGTTTGGGAGAAATCAGGATCACAACAAATGATGAACCCGCCAAAGAATCTTGGCTCTTCCATGAAGATATTGAGTACTCGCGAGGAGAAGTCCCATCTCAACTTAAAGGCAGTAAAAAAAAATTTCCACTCTTTAGCAGATATTTCGTTCTCGACACAGTTGTATCCGAACCTCAGATTCCATACCTCAATCAATTATTGAACTTATGTATTAAACCTCTTGAATGGGTAAACTTTTACTTATATGAGGCTTAATCTATAGAGATCATTGCATAACTGCACAGAGCCAGCAGCTCAAAGTCGTTTTGAAAATTCGTATAGGCTCCAGGCTAACTGGCACGAATGCCACAGGTCTTTAAAAGCAATTAAATTTCTGCATTTAAGCAAGCGATGCGACATAACTCTGGTCAACTCTCACACTTACGCCAGCGAAGCAATGGTTAAATCTCAAAGGAAAAACCAGCCATTATATACACTCATAATAACGTAATTAGGGAGCAAGTGGAAGCAACAGCAAATATTTCTCGGACTTGACCAAATTTGCTCTAATCACGTCGAGGAAAGTGTAAATTATTTTGTAGTGCTGCTGCAGTGAAACGCAAATTACAAACATGCAAGGTACACAAAACGTGACATGTTCGTTAAGATCTAATTTTTACACTAGCGTATTATGCAGCATTCGTGCGCAGAGAAGGTCAAATAAAGTGACTAAAGCTTCGTACCTCACACGACTTCCGTCACGCGCTATCACGTAAGAACTTTATTGCGTAATGACGCTAATAAGTCAGCACGAGTCGCGTCAACAGCAACTGTCGCTTGTTTGTGACATAACCATAACTTGAGTAATCAACGACATAATTTACCTGCGCTGCTTATATTCATGATGTATAAAGCTAATATTTTTAGTACACGATCCACAAAAATGAGAGAGTAGCATGTAAATACGGTAACTTTCTTCTCTAATTTTCTTCATTTGCCAAAATACGAATTTTTCATAGTGAAGTACTGGCCATTAAATATCTTATTCTGCGTTTGTGGCCTAAATTAATTGAATGACTTCAACTTCACATTCCTAATTTAACCACCAAAACAGGATCTTACGTTATTTCCAGCTCAATATTATCAATTGATTCTTCAAAGATCTACACAAATTTAATCAAACGTTAATTGTAGTCCCCAAATTATTGAAGTAAATAATACAGACTTTAAAAATGACATCGGAGACGTAAAGAGCTAAGCATGTAGCATCACTGCAATAAAATTAACCAAAGAGCTAAGCATGTAGCATCACTGCAATAAAAATAACCAAAGAGCTCAGTTTGTAGCATCACTGCAATAAAATTAAGGACTTGGACTAAGTTGTTCATAACTAGTCCTGTTTATTTCGAAATAATGTTAGGTCTTGTTTAGGTTTTATGTCTGTCTTTGAATTTTGACTTTTAAAGTGATTTTATTCATTTTAGTTTAGTCGAACTGATGATGGAGCTGGACTCCGAAACGTTTCAATATCGATATGGTGAATTTTCTTGGCGTTTTCTTTGCTTTTAAATTCCTTGTGAACTTGCGATTTAAGCAGACTAATGATATAAAATTAATAAAGTCATGGTAGGAAATCAGTCATGGGGGCAAAGGGAACATAAGCGCCAGTTGAGTGGAGCCCAACAAAGACGCTCACTTTAAAGGGGGTCAAGCTGCTGGCTAATGCAAACCTGGCAGCTCCTGGCCAAGTTTCCTCAGACGGTCTCGCAAGTTCCTTATTTATGGTGGCCATGATGGTGGCTGTCAGCCATAACGTGGTCAAAAGTTCCTTATTTATGGTGGCCATGATGGTGACTGCCAGCCATAACGTGGTCACAAGTTCCTTATTTATGGTGGCCACGATGGTGGCTGTCAGCCATAACGTGGTCGCAAGTTCCTTCTTTATGGTGGCCACAATGGTGACTGCAGTCAACCATAACGTGGTCGCAAGATCCTTATTTATGGTGGCCACGATGGTGACTGTCAACCATAACGTGGCGCACGCAGTGTTTGGCGCGTCCCGTAGAAATACCGAAGACAAATATTTTGTCGCATAATTTTTCAACAAAGTTCAGGAGTGGCGAAATTGCACAGTGTATAACAAATTTATCGTTACGAAAAAGAAAATAAAAATATCCGGAATACGCCGATAATAAAGTAAGGCAATCGAAACGGCTTTAACATGAGTACATATACGAGAAGCGGCGCTTCTCGTACTTGTCCATCCGCAAGTTATGAAATATTATATCAGAATTCTGATAGCACATTGTGTGATTCTGATATATCAGACTCACAAATAAACGCGTTATCGTCTGTAAAATTCAACTCACCTAGCAGCCGAGAATCGGTTTCAAATTTTTTTGTTTAAATGGACAGTTTGTGCTATGGCATCAAAACATAACTTGAGAGCACTGCTTATGGCCTGGTGCCCGTCCAAGGGTCAAATCCTTCACTCGCAGAACACGCGGAGTGAGGGTCGCCCGAGTCACGGTAGTTATAAGATTAGCGTCATGACAGCAAAGCAAGATTGTGGAGAGCCAGCAAAGCAACGTATATAATCACTGCAAGTCACACACAACACCGCAGTACGATCGGGAGGCCAGCTTCAACTTCGCCTTACTAATTTGAAACGCCAAAATTACGTAGATGTTGCATTATTTCCTACACAAAATTGGCACTATTAATTGATTATTAACAATTAATAACACTTTGAATTGATCCTCATTTAGTCGAACAATGGAGAGAAATTTGGGACGGCGTTTTGAGCGGCTCTGGAGGGCAAGATTTTGAATGCAGCTAGGAAGCAGTATGGAAAGTCAAGAGCATGATGAGGAAATTTCAATCTTTCCGAACACATAACCAATTACTCACCAGATACTCTCGTTAAGTGGAAATTCACCATTTGCGCATTGATGACGCAATTCAGGCTTAAAAAATGCATATGGACTGATCATAACAGAAGTCATCAGGTACGGATGGTCCTTAAGTGACGTCAGAAACGCAGGCGGAACTGACACTTAAAATTTCGTGGACGATGCATAATGTACGTCGTAATTTCTAAGTGGACGCTATAGTAACAAAGCGTAAACAAAGCGAGACGACCTGACGGGCCAGAGCTTGCGCAAGAGGCAAGGACGTGGCAAGCAACGGAACAAGTTTTTTGTCGTGTAATAAATACAAAGAAATGTTGTCCGAAATGTTTAAGGGTAGTGAAATTTATAATAAGCAATCATGCAAATTCCTGTCGATTGTCATCTATCTAGTCTAAGTTGGAATTAGATTAAATTATCTAGCTAATTGTCGGTGATTCAAAACGGTTATGCCTCAATTCAATTCCTCCATCTCAGAGGTAAAATACTAAACTTAGTAATTTTGCTGCACACTTATTTTTAGAAAAAACTTAATTCATCTGATTTTCATACAATAGTGAAAAATGCTGCATGAAAGACAATCTCCTATTAGAAGTTCTATTTACTTACATTATAC